AAACTTTATACATATATATATGTGTGTGTGTATGTGTGTGTGTGTGTATGTATATATATATATATATATATTGATTTTCCAGAGGAAGGAAGAGGGAGAGAGAGATAGAAACATCCATGATGAGAGAGAACCATTGATCCTTCATGCCCCACACTGGGGATGGAGCCCACAACCCAGGCATGTGCTCTGACCAGGAGCCCTGACCAGGAATTGAACCATAACCTCCTTCTTCATAGGTTGACACTCAAACACTGAGCCATGCCGCTGGGCAAAACTTTTTTTAATAGTTTAATATATTTTAATAGCAAACTTACAGGAACAGCACAAAGACAGACAACATTAAAAACATGTACTTGCATGTAGGACAACTCAGAAAAGTATAGTGAATGGATGGTATCTACTGTATGATAAAAATGCTACAAACACCATTTAGTTGCCATCAATAAGAAATTTATTTGTTTTTAAAAAATCCAAATGCTGGCATTGTCCAGAAAAATTTAACAGTTTTATTTTATATTGTTATGAAGTTCAACTGCTGAAACTTGTTCACCGAAACATTTGACTTGCATTTATATTTTAAAAATTCACACACAAATGAAAATGGAAAAACTGCCAATACCTGATTTCTGTCCTCTATTTTCAACTTGCAATCATATCCTTAGGTACCTTTTGACCCCACGGGGGAAAAATACTTAACATTCAGAACTACCAAGAATAGGAAGAAGAGAAATTTTATTTTAAAAGAATGAAATGTTTCCATCATAGTGGATCTTAAGCACGTTCTCCAGGTATGCGGCGTGCTGGCTGGACGTGTTGGCATCGTTGTTACACGTTTGGCATGGATAGCACACAGGTTGGTGTCTTCAGAAAAGGCCAACCAGACAGGCCCCCTGCCCCCTGCAAAGCACCATAGGCTGCTCCCTGGAAGCACAGTTCTGGTTTGAAGTCCTGAGCAATTTCTCGCACCAGACGCTGGGAGGGAAGTTTGCGAATCAGAAGTTCTGTGGACTGATAACCTCTAATTTCACAAAGTGCCACAGTGCCCGGCCTGTAACCATGAGGTTTCTTCACCCCTCCAGTAGAGGGCGCACTATTGTGAGTGGCTTCGGCAGCCAGTTGCCTCCTCCGTGCTTTACCGCTGGTCCATTTGCGGACAGTCTGCTCTGTATGAGCCATGGTATAGAGACCTCTTTACTTCCCCCCTTCTTCGCTGGAGCTTGGCGAGCCGAGACGGCACAGGCATTAGAGAGCGATGGTGGCTGCCAACACAATTCGGGCAAAACTTGTTTATTTTGAAATAGTAACTGTAGGCTCACACGCAGTTGCCAAAATAGTACGTAGAGTCCCACAAAAACCCTTCTTCCCCCACATGGTGACATAATTGCTGTAGGACAGTATCAAAACCAGGAAGTGGACATTAAGACAATACTAGTAACTAGTACTCCATCGTCACTGTTTTTGCATGTGTGTGGTTCTATCTGATTCTATCACCTGTAGCCGAGCCACCGCCACCATCAGGGTACAGAGACTCTCACCACCTGGAGCGAGCGCCTATGTTCCCTCTTTGTATCTGTGCGCCCCTTTGCTGTTCTCCGCCAGTTAGTCATCTGTTCTCCATCTTTATAGGGTTGTCATTTTGAAGATGTTGCATAATGGGAACCAGGCAGTAGTGACCTTTGGGATGAGCTGTTTTCAGTCAACACCATGTCCTGAGCTCCGTCTGGATGGCTGCCTGCGTCAGTAGGAGTTCCTCTTTGTTGCTGAGGGTACTCCATAGTCAGGACGCACCAGTGTCCAACCTTCCACCCGTCCAAGGACATTTGGATTGCTTTTAGGTCTTGGCGATTGCAAGTGTAGTTGCTGTGAACATTTGTGTACAGGTTTTTGTGTGAATCTAACTTTTCCTTTCCCGAGGATAAGTGCATGTTAGTTTTCTAAGAAACTGATTTTCATAAGAAACTGTTTCCCAGTATTCCCACCAGCAATGGATATGAGCTTGTTTCTCTACATCTGTGCCAGCATTTGGTGTTGTCATTGCTTTTTATTTATAAGGTGTAATGATAACTCATTGTGGTTTTAATTTGCATTTCCCTAATGGCTAGGGATGTGAAACAGCTATTTATGTATTTACTAGAGGCCTGGTGCACGAAATTCATGCATGCGGGGGGCGGGGTGTCCCTCAGCCCGGCCTGTGCCCTCTCACAGTCTGGGAGCCCTGGGGGCGGGGGGGGCGGATGTCCATCAGTTGGACATCCTTAGCGCTGCCGTGGAGGCAGGATAGGCTCTTGCCACCACCACTGTGCTCGCCAGCCATGATCCTGGCTTCTGGCTGAGAGGCGCTTCCCCTGTGGGAGCGCACTGACCACCAGGGGGCAGCTCCTGCATTGAGCGTCTGTCCCCTGGGGTCAGTGCACATCATAGTGACTGGTTGCGGTTTGGTCGATTTGCATATTACCCTTTTATTATATAGGAGAATTGGCCATGTATCCTTTTTTTTTTAAAGATTTTTTTATTGATTTCAGAGAGGAAGGAAGAGGGAGAAAGACAGAAACATCAATGATGAGAGAGAATCATTGATTGGCTGCTTCCTGCACTCCCCCCACTGGGGATTGAGTCTGCAACCCGGGCATGTGCCCTTGACTGGAATCAAACCTGGGACCCTTCAGTCTGCAGGCCAGCGCTCTATCCACCGAGCCAAACCGGCTAGGGCGGCCATGTATCCTTCTTAAGTGAAATGTCTATTCATGTCTTTTGCCCATCTTCCCATTTGATTGATGCTTTTTTTGTTGTTGAGCTTTGACCATTCTTGCTATATGCCAGATGCTAATCATTTGTCAGATATGTGACTTGCAAATGTTTTCTTCCGCTATGCGGCTTGCCTTTTCAATCTCTTACCTGAGTCACAGTGTAAGTTTTCACTTTTTGTGAGGTCCAGTTTTTCCATTTTTATGGGTCATGCTTTGGTGTCAAGTCTAGGAACACTTTGCCTGGCCCTAGGTTTCAAAGATTTTTCTCCTATGTCTTCTACAAGTTTTATAGTCTTACATTTTACATTTAAGTTCGTGGTCCATTGTGAATTAATTTTTGTATATGAGGTAAAGGTTTAGGTTTAGGTTAAGGTAAAGGTTTAGGTTAGGTTAACATTTTTTTTTGTCTCTAATGTCCAATTTTGCCAGTACTATTTGTTGAAAAATTATTCTTCTTCCATTGTAAGGACTTATTTTTACACACCCACCCTGTCATTATCACACCTGAGCAAACTGACAGGAATCCTGTATGTTGACTGTTTTGGGTCCTGTCTGAGCATCAGGACCCAGTAGGTCCATACATTGCATTTGGTTGTAACGTCTCTAGAGTCTCTTTTTCTGTAACAATCCCTCAACCACCTTTGTTGGTAAGACATTAACTTGTTGGAGAAACCAGGACATTTGTCCTGCCAGCGGTTCTCAACCTGTGGGTCGCGAACAATGAAAATAAATCTTGCGTGTCAGATATTTACATTACGATTCATAACAGTAGCAAAATTACAGTTATGAAGTAGCAACGAAAATAATTTTATGGTTGGGGGTCACCACAACATGAGAACTGTATTAAAGGGTCGCGGCATTAGGAAGGTTGAGAACCACTGCCAGTGAGTGTAGACTGTACGGTGGTCTAGATTTGGCTGCTGCTTGCTCATGGAATCATTTAAAAAATATAGTTTTATTGATTTCAGAGAGGAAGGGAGAGGGAGAGAGAGATAGAAACATCAATGATGAGAGAGAATCATTGATTGGCTGCCTCCTGTACGCCCCCAACTGGGGATCAAGCCCGCAACCCAGGCCTGTGCCCTTGAAGGGAATCGAACCTGGGACCCTTCAGTCAGCAGTCTGACACTCTATCCACTGACCCAAACCAGCTAGGGCTGGCTGGCAGCTTTTATTCAAGGTCCACACCTAGTGGTCAGGGCATTTCAAAATAGAAGCACGCTGACACTTGATTTAACTTACTTGAAACTTATATCTGATATGCAGGATGGTCTTAGGCGACCCCTGTGAAAGGGTCGTTCAACCACCAAAGGGGTCGCGACCCACAGGTTGAGAACCACTGGGCTAGGGCCTCATGGTATCATTTAATCTGATCCGCTTCCTTCGATATCTCCTGGTACTGGTGATTAGTTCTAGAGGCTTGTTTCAATCCCAGTTCACTTTTTGGGGAAGGGTCCTTCTTGGGAGGTGCTATATGCTTCCCGTGCAGGCAGTTAGGAGGCTTAAAACTCCCAGTGCCCCGTTTTAGTGACATTGATCTTGACTGTGGGTTTGCCTCTGCAGCCTGACCCATCCCTTATCAAATTCCCCATCAGCCTTTCACTAGTGGTTTTATCATCCACTGATGACCCAGGTCTCCTCCATCCATTATTTGTCCTAGGAATTGCAAAATGGTCATTTTTTATTTTATTATTCTGTGTCCTTTCACTAAGGGGACTTATGTAATGTAGAACAACTCCCTTGCCAATTATGTAGTTGCCCTGAAATGTTATAGATGAAGACACTGAAGACACACCCTCCAAGCTGCCAGGTGGTGGAGGGTGGCGAGAATCCTGCGTGGGGACTGCAAAGCGGAGGCGAGGTTGTGCCATTACAGACTCTGCCCCAAAGTCCCACCACTTTGCAGCCTTCCCTGACCCGCCCCCAGCTGTGGCCAAGGCAGTGATGCCGCCTGCAGCTCCCTTTCTGCTGGGCACTCGCCTCTCCTGCCGGGCAGTGGGCCAGGCCTCCAGGTCGCCCCTGTCGTGTAGAGCAAGTGAGTTCCTTGAGGCTGAGACTGGGTCGTCTTCCAGTGCTCAGCACTGTGTCCAGCGGCCTCAGGACATGTTTGTTGGAAAAATGATCCCAGCATCTCCCCTCAGGGCTCTCTGTCGTGTCCCTGGCGAAAGTTTCATATTTGGTCCATTAAGAAAATAGGGGACCTGCCAGAGCATGCGGGGTTCCGAGCTCCATCCTGTGCTTCTTTCCCACATCAGGGTGCATGGACCGCATTGGAAAAGGGGAGCCTTGGAGGCCCTTCTCTGAACCCCTTTTCCCAGGAGAGTGAAGGGGCTACCTAGCCAGCATCATCCGTGCCTTCCCCAGGCCTGGGGCTGTGCCAGGCCAGTGTCCTGCTTCCTTGTGAGACCTGGGCAGGCAAGAGATCTTTCCCAGGTAGGTGCCTGTCCTGAGTGTGAAAGGATGGGACCCCGGTGTCCATCCCCCCACCTCCCAACAGACGCACACTGTGAACATTTGGTGAGATCTGGCATGGTGTGCCATCCTGGGCCACCAAGCTGGGCCAGCTCTGGGAGACAGCCTCTGAGGAGCCACCATCGCCTGCCTCTCCTGGGGGCCAGGGGCCTGCGTCTGAGTCAGAATATGGCATCAGATGCCCGGCATGCTTGGTGGATTGAGTGTTGTCTCATGCACCAAGAGGTCACTGATTCCATTCCCGGTCAAGGCACATGCCCGGGTTGTGGGCTCGATCCCCAGCAGGGGCGTGCAGGAGGCAGCCGATCCATGATTCTCTCTCATCCATGTTTCTGTCTCTCTCTCCTCCTCCCTTCCTCTCTCTCAGAATCAATAAAAACATATTTAAAAAAAGAAACTTATTAAAAAAAACCCCAATATTGCATCAAGTACTTGGGAGGGATATTATGAAAACCTTCAAATCATTCCGTGCTACCCCAGGAGACTGCAAAACCAAGTTCCACATGATTTTTCTCATCTCTCAGTTGGAGAAAATGTTACTTACTTCAAAGTTGCTGTGAGAAAAAACTAGATACTATGTTTGGGGAAATGATTTGTAAACCACAGGGCATGGCGCAACAACATGGCGGGCGTGGGTCAGGGCACAGAAGCCTCCCAGCACCGTGGCCACCCTTCCCGGAGAGGCCCTCCCCTTCCTGTGAGGACAGTGCCAGCTGTGGGAGGACAGGCGGGGCTCTGTCTGCAGGAGGCTCTGCCGTGGGGGGCTGCTCCTCTGGGCCTCCAGGCCGGTGGGAGACAGTGTGTCCATAGGACCTGCATTTGAGCCCTGGCTCTGATTCGGGGCGAGTCCCCCTGAGTGGGTCTCTTCTTGTGAAGTGGGCGACCTACCCGAGGAAAGCGAGAGAACTCTGAGTGTTAGTGTCACTTGGGGGTTAAGAGAGAGGCACTTGAGTGTGAGTGACAAAGCCCCAGGGAGAGGCTGGGCTGGAGCCTGCTGGTGTGCCCTCCTGTGGGCAGGGGCAGAGCCCAGAGTTGGCCCTGGCTGGGGAGACGACACAGGGGCCTCTCAGCACTGCCTTAGAGCAGAGCAGCCTCTGACACTCTCGCTCAGAAGGTGAGGATTTAGGCGTCTTTGTACCACCTCCTCCCATCCCCCTTCGATTCTCGTTTGTTCATTTAATTTGGGATGATAGGCAAAGATGATGATTTACAACCCAAGACTCCTCTTTTTAAAAAAATTTTTTAAAATACATTTTTATTGATTTCAGAGAGGAAGGGAGAGGGAGAGAGATAGAAGCATCAATGATGAGAGAAACTCATTGATTGGCTGCCTCCTGCACGCCCCCTGTTGGGGATCGAGCAACTTGGACATGTGCCCTGACTGGGAATCAAACCACTGAGCAACACCAGCCAGGCCCAAGTCTCCTTTTTAAAGAAATATTTCTGGCACTGGTTTTCAATTTTGCAGTCATTCTTACAGGAACTATTCTTAGACTTGTCACTGTGTCTCTTTTTCAAAGCTTGTCACCAATCTTTATATAGACAATTCCATTTTTGAGTTTCTTTATATAGATGTCTTCTCCATTTTTGGTTTCTAATCTAGATATATCTCCTGGTCAGTGTGTTAGAAATCATTTATTTTTACAGGAAAATAGAAATGTAAAGGGCTCTCAGGGGGTGAAACTTACAGCTAAGAGCACACACGGTGTAGATGGTGGCAGAGGATGCTGGCAGCATTGGAGAGAATGGGGGACAGAGCCGCGAAGCGTGGGGAGACATCAGCAGGTCAGGTGATGGGCCCGGGTGCACCCAGGAAGGCCCAAGGAAAGCTCCCGTTAGGCTCAGCTCTGGCTGAGAATATCAGCTTAGCCTTGGAAATTGTGAGAGGTCAGATGGGCTGCCCTCGGGGTTCAGGCTGAGATTGTTGGGGTTTTGGGGTTTGGCCATTTTCTGGGTCAGACAGCAGAGGCCGTCCGGGGCCAGTGAACCTGTGGGACACAGGGCGGGTCGGTGGGCATCTGGGCCTGGCGCTCCAGCTAGGGCTCTTCCCAATGCCCACACGCTCCGAGTCGCATCCATTTCAGCAGGGGCCACAGGGTCCTAGGAAGAGCTGGGCAGCTGGGCAGAGAGGCGTGCGCAGGCCTGCAGGCGGGGCAGGCTGCGGCACATCCGAGGACAGCAGGAGGCGTGACTGGAGTAGAGGATCAGGTGGGACTTGCAGGAGATGAGAAACAACCAGAGCCACGGAGGGCAGTCGTGTGGACCACGGGAGGGACGCAGCTTCTGCTCCGAAGGAGATGGGAGGTTTTGGAGTTCTGAGCAGAGGAGAGGCCCGTCTGGCTGACATCTTAGAAGGCTCACACAGCTGCTGTGTGGGGCTGGACAGCAGAGACAAGGGCAGAAGCAGGGAGACTGGTGAGGAGCCTATTCCATTAATTCAGGGGGGACAAGATGAGGCTGGCTCCAGCGTGATGGCTGGGGCCAGGGTGACGCCTGGTCAGAGTCCGGGCACGTTTTGAAGGTGGACATAGAGCCCTGGGAGATTCTTTCCAGTACTGGCCCTGGCTGGGAGGAGGCTAATATTGTGATTTCCTCTCTCTAGGCCAGCTCCTCGCTCACTCCCACGGTTTCTCTCAGGGAGCCCCTGCTGCTGGGCACCATGACAGTGAGGGGGGCCGCCCTGGCCCCAGATCCAGTGTCGCCCACGATGGCGGCAGCCTCGCCCAGCGTCTCCGAAGTCCCCGAGGGCAGCCCCACAGCCATGGAACAGCCCGTGTTCCTGATGACAACGGCCGCGCAGGCCATCTCCGGTTTCTTTGTCTGGACGGCGCTGCTCATCACCTGCCACCAGGTACCGGCCAGGCAGGAGTCCCCGAGCCCGAAGGCTAGAAGGATCCTGCGCGGTTTCTAGTCCCAAAGGCATTAGTTAGGTGCGGGCAGGCGATGCTGCAGCAGTAAGTGAACCCCATAATCTCTGGAGCTCCTCTGGGAGAAGGGGATTCCTTGCTCACATCCCAGCCCAGTGCGCTTCAGGTTCCACCTGTGGCTCCAGCATCTTGCAGCTCCAAGGCATCATCCACCTGACCACTGGGAGGAGGGTCACGTGGGAGGCACTCTGGGTATTTACCTTTCAAGATCCAGAAACGACACTCATTTCTTTGCTCACTGTCCCTGGGCCAGAACTGGTCCCATGTCCCGCCTGAGCTGCAGGGGCCTGGGGACTGTGCGTGAGCACCTGATGTCAGTCCTGTGTCCACCCTGAGCTGCAGGGGCTCTGGGGACTGTGTGTGAGCACCCGATGTCAGTCCTGTGTCCAGCCTGAGCTGCTGGGGGCCTGGGGACTGTGTGTGAGCACCCGATGTCAGTCCTGTGTCCACCCTGAGCTGTTGGGGGCCTGGGGACTGTGCGTGAGCACCTGATGTCAGTCCTGTGTCCACCCTGAGCTGCAGGGGGTTGGGGGACTGTGTGTGAGCACCTGATGTCAGTCCTGTGTCCAGCCTGAGCTGCAGGGAGCTGGGGGACTGTGCATGAGCACCTAGTTGTCAGTCCCTTGTCCAACCTGAGCTGCAGGGGGCCTGGGGACTGTGCGTGAGCACCTGATGTCAGTCCCGTGTCCAGCCTGAGCTGCAGGGAGCCTGGGGGACTATGCATGAGCACCTAGTTGTCAGTGACCCCTTCGCAGATGAGAAAATTGGGACCCAGAGAGGGAGAAGGGAGGGGACGTAGTCGTTGGCAGAGCTGGAGTAGAAGTCAGTGTCCTGTCCCCCGTGCTCACAGGCCCAGAGGAGCCTGGTGTGGCCTGAGACGGGCCTTGGCTGCCTGAGCAAGGAGAGGTTTGAAGGTTTCCAGCAAAGACGGAGGCTGAGCTCATTTGGGTCCCCTTTCAGCTCCTCTCCCGCTGCCCTGTGTTCCCCATCCTTTCTAGAACCCAGTTGCTTCATTGCCGATGGGGAATATTTTGTTCTTTTCCTCCCGAGCCCAGGGCTCGGCTGGGCCAAGTGTGAAGTCATGAAGCTGGGATGGGAGACGGGCTGGGATGAGGATCCTGGCTAGAGCAGGTCTTGGCATTTGTGTG